CTATAATGCCTTGCAAATGGTTACCTTTGACCTCAATATTATGTGTTTTTGAGGCCATACATCCATGCTGCCTATCGCGCCCAAGGGATGGCTTTACAGAGCGAGCTCCGTGGTGGCAAGTCACATTTTCAAGAGGCTCAAGATGTGTAACACAGAGACTATTGAAATTAAAACCGGAGCAAAAGCCCCTCGCTGGTGTAACTCGACGGAAATAACATGATTCATTCTCCTGCTTCATAACCAATGATGTCTCGTTTGTGGATCACCTTTCAGCTGCGTAGTCCTGAATTTGTGTCCTCCCTTGCATGACACACTCAGCCTCATGCAGTCTTTTCTCGATCGGGCGACTCCAGGGGATCATATCATATTTAGGAGTGAAACTCGTCACCGCCTCCGTTGCACAGACGCGAAAGTCGATGCGTGGTCTGAGACATGATCGATCAGGATCGGAAGTCAAAAACGTTGAACTGTCAGATCATACCATCTCGGCAGATCTAACGATGGAGTTGAAACTAGGATTAGCAGGGTCTCCCTAGCATTTCCGAGTCAAATGTCTTGCAAAACAGGTCTACATCTCTGCGATGAGGGGGAATCAAGCCAACGGCATTGAAGCCGAGATCACTCTTGGCAATATTTCAAATGGGCTGAAAGAAGTCAGGTGGGCAGAAACAGAGCCAACATCAGAGAGGAAACATCAACAAAAAAACAAAAACAAAGTGGTCGTGCGTCATCCGGAATTCGAATCCGAGCCTCAACTTTTCTCAATGGAAGAGTTGAATCCTAACCCCTAGACCAATGACGCTTGATCATTTGATGAGTCAGCCTGACACCAAACCGTTCTATAACCACCAGAATCACCAGAATCCGTGAAGCCTTATTCCTCATTTTGTGAGGGATTGTGAACGGTATTACACACCTGCACATATGTCAATCTTGACGAGAGTAAAGTCCAGATGTCTTCTATATACGTAATAAGAGGATATATACGCCTTCTATGCCTTTGAACCCGAGTTCATTTTATACTTATAATGCCAACCCTCACTCTTCATGTCCATCCTGATCTTGTACGTCTCTTCCGCAACCCTCAAAACATCCAAGTCCAAGTCCACAATCTCCATCTTCTCTTCGCCAACCTCGATTCTTCCCAGCGCTCCCAAAATCGGCATATTAACACAACTCAGTCCTCCAGCATTGCAAAACACAACCGCAGCCGTATTCTCAAAGGCTCGCGCTGTGAGTGTACAATTCAAGAAGATGCGTTCAGAATCGGGGTTGAGACCGGCTCCCTCTTCGCCATTGTCATCCATAAACCAGTATGATGGTATGAGTATTATATCAGCGCCGTCGTTGACGAGCGCTTTGAAAGCTTCGGGGAATGCTAGATCCCAGCATATTACCATACCAGCGCGTACGGGTCTCCCATCGGCGTGTTTAAGCGGCGTGTCGAATGCAGTATGAGGCGTATGTGTCGAAGACGTCAAATGCGGGCGCTCAGGATGCCAGAGATTCTTCTTCTGATAGGAGCCACAAATCTCGCCTGTTGCTGCTGCAAGGAAGTACGCCATGTTGCGGAGCTCCTCATCTTTAGAATCAGGAACCGAATGAACTTCGCAAATTGTGCCGGGAACGATGTTGATGTTGAGCTCTTTAGCTAGAGCTTGATATTTCGAGAGATATCCTGTTGATGCCTTGCTGGCCGATATGAATTCGGGATGCTCGGGGACCCATGACGTTAAGTGGAATTCAGGGAGAATCGCGATATCGCATCCCTTTGAGGCGGCTGAGCGGAGGTAACTTTCTGCCTTTGCAAAGTTTTCTTCGACAACGATGGCCTGATAATGTGTAAGTCAATGACATCAGTTACATCAATACAGTTACTGTAATGACGTGTAGAGACTAACCTTTGGCTCAAATTGAATTACAGCAACTTTATAGATAGGCGCCATTTTAATTGCAACGTTCTGTTGGTTACCGAGAGAAATCACTGTAAAAAGCGAACAGAAATGTCTTGCATATCTGGGGAAATGTACAAATGCAATGCGGAGCAGGTATAAAATATCGGCCGTCGGCGTGATGCGCAGCAATTCTCCACTGCTAGCATCGGGTATACATTTCTCTAAATGGCAAAGGCTTTGTCAATGATTATTCGTGACAGGCCAATCATTATCACGGATCGAGTTCCTTGCTTGGCCGTTCGCCACTTGCGTCAACTCTGTGAGTTCCTTGTGTATTGATTACCCGATATGGGTTTGGTCGCTGATTGACAGGTGTCACCTCGTGTTCACGTTTATGTCGCGCAATGTGAATGATTGCCCAAATGTGTTTTTTGTTATATCCGCAGCGAATCACACTTCGCCAATGACAGGGATTTCCAAAGCTAAGGAAAACCGCTGAGGTTACCCCTCAGTATCTCACTTGGTACACCAGGTGGCGCAGGTCCAGAAGGGCCATCGAATGGACAGAACAAGACGCTGCCCTCAGCCGTATTCTGCTGTCCTAAAAGCGGCCCTTTTGCGATTCTCTCATCCATAAGATCCTGGACCTTGTCAACAGCAGATGCATCAATCCCGGTCTTCCGCAATTCATGCGCCATTTGTATGGCTGCAGATGCAGTAACAGGGTTCTCACGTCCAATCGTGATCATGAGATCCATAAGCGCTGTCATCTTCATCTCGCTGGTGCGATTCTGTGCCGACACATAATCTTCTAGAAACACATATGTCGCCATGTATGCTGCAAATGTAACGAGGGGTTTGCTGAACATGGCTGTCACATCAGGCTGTGACGCGATGATGTTAAATATCGCGTCAGCAGAGGGGACGAGTCGCGCCTGTGTGTTGGACAGTACATCAGCCGAGATGTTGTGCTTCTTGGCTTGGACGGCACCCACGCGATGGATGCATATCGACGCGGTGTGAAGTTGGAGGTTTATATTGGTGGCTTCTTGGGTATGTGACCCCCGGAGCGTTTCAGGGAGCGTGATGAAGGCTGTGGAGAGACTTGTGTCGAGATCGCGATGACGTTTCCAGAACTGACTGTTATGTATATCTGTTAGGTCGGAGGCTTGATGATCTTGGTAAGTATGGTCGAGACACTCATGGAAGAGATGAGTCGTCATGATGCGATATCCGAATGATGAGCAGAGAGAGTTGTCACCGCCCAGAACTTGAAGCAGTGACGCTGAAGGCTCCTCCATGCCAAGTTGAAATGATTCATCCGAGGCTGGCAATAACGTGCTGATCTGCAAGGCATCAGTCACGTACTTTCTCAGCTCCTATAGATCATACCTTGTTGACGTCCATCAGACTTGGCCAACCCGTAGTACCGCTCGTATGCTTATCAGTGCAAAATACAGCCCATAGTGTTCTTCTCCTCTCTTCAAGTTCACACCAGTCCTTGGGTTCCGGTAGCGTTGCATTTCGTCTCCAGTCATTCTTACCATCGAGCTGATGGAGGCCTAGAATCTGCGACAGACGCACAGACTTTGATGTACTCATCGATGATCTGGAGAACCACATATTTTGCACCTCGAAATGGGACATGAGGACGCAACATTGTGTGTGAGCCAGAGTCACGAAATATTCTCCCTCGCCCTGATGTTGTGAGTTGGCGTCCGTTATGCACATTTAAGATTGACTGACCTTTTGCTCATCAGCTTCAAGATAGTATCTAGCTCTTCGGTAAAAAGGATCTGCAAGATGTTTATGAGGCGGTGAAACAAGTGCAGCTCGGGCCATGATTATATACTGAAGACACATAGGTGGTTGCATATGAGGCGGAAGATACAGGGACGCGAGGTATCGCGAAGGGTGAATGTACTGCGCATCGCAATGGACCTCTGTAAAAAAGACATTCGTCCTGCAAACTGTCAGATCCTTACTTTTATTCTTGATAATATGCGCTCACAACTCCTCAATAATTTCTTGTGGGGGAAGTTGTTCATATCTCCCCGTCTCAGTAAGCTGATTCTCCGACGGTTGAAACGGTCTGAACGATTGATATCCCTCCTCCTGCGTCGCCTTTAGCCGATACTCGAGATCGACTATTCCCATCAGCATCGCTCAGAAGTTTTGCTACTTACTTACCCAATCGCGACTCGAGTTCTTTGACCCGTGGTCGTGTCGCTGTTATCACAGGCTTCTTGCGTGAAGAGGGATATTGGCATTTTGTGCCGGTGGCGGAACAGCGGCTGCATCCAGGGCTCGACCGATCGCACTTTAGTTTGCGGTACCGGCACTGATAGCACGAAAATGGCATGAGCGTGTTCTCTGGAGGTTTGGATGAGGACGAGGCCATTTTTTAGAGTTGGCGACAACTTGGTAAAGTTATTTTTTGCAGTTGGAGGTTACGTGATGCTTTAGTTTAGTAATTATCCTTCGCCTCTGCTGTATGGGTTTTGATACAGTGGGTCTCGTCGTTCGTGATTTGCTGTGCATCACTGATGACTGTATCGCGATAAGAGGATTTGCACTAACCTATACAACACCTCGTCAAAAAGCCAGGGAAGAAATAACCAAACGAGCCAGCGACAGAAATAACGGAATAAAAGATAATCCAAAGATCTCACCTCAAAGTGTGAAAATGAACAAAATGTTAATTATGCCCAAAATTTGTCTTTCTCGTTGAAAGATTTACGACTCCTAAAGTCAAGGTTCTGAACCCACGTCTGCATGAATAGGTCTACCAATCGATGCGGTTGTATGTTACAGTAAAAAGTTTGACTACTATAGTTTGAGCACCAAACCTTGAAATTCGCAATGCAAAGTTTCTTCCTCGCCAAGTATAAATAAAAGGCATTTCCCCACCAAGGATCTCCTTGTACTACCAACGTTTTGTTTTATCACTCCTTCAACATGCATGTTGCGCCACAGCTGGAGATGCTTCCAAGTGAAGTGATAATTGTGATCATGCGGCTAATTCCATCGCCAATAGGCCTCCAATCGGTCATCACCGCATCACCCGTCATGTTCCAGCATTACCTTGCCCATCGTTCGATCATAATGACGCCTATCATCCATCGGATCGAAGCCTCGTACTCAGCCAAAGACCGCGGAAATAATCGGATCCATATTACAAAAACTCTCCCATATCGGTTGCTGGGTAGGCCTGTGGTTCCCCAAGAGGACCATGACTGGTGGCCTTTTGCTATGTATCCCTCCAGACTTCTGTGCTACAGGAACTGGGGAAGTCACCTGCCCTTAATCTGCGAGCTTTACCGGCAGAGAAGAGAGGCAGACCACCTCATCACAGAATATTCTACAGAGGCATGGAAAAGATTGCTGTCGTGGGAAGAAGAGTTCATGCTCCGACGGAATCCATATTTTGACGGACCCTTGATCCTTTTAGAACAAGAGACGTACAACCTTGAGCGTGGCTTTCTTTTGTTTGAGTCTTGGAGACTTGGCATGTATTCAGGTGGCCCGGATAAGTTCTATGGTCTCGGTTCACTCAAGGATTATAGCAGTCGCCAGGTCCTAGCACAGCGCTGGGACTCCTTTGGTACCGGAATTCACAGATCTCGTGATTGTGGCTACCTCGATTCGATACTGGTTTTTGTGTTTCGCAAATTCAGAGTCTTAGTACACCTGGTCTCACAACAGCTCCAGAAAGATCCCTCCAAGTCACCGACCATGTCAAGCACTCGGAATAATCCAACATCGGAGTTCTTACGCAGAACCTACGACAGATGAAGGAGGAAGAGCTGCAGAACTATGTGCTCTCAAGCTACGTGGCGTTCGCAAACCAGGACGCAAGGCTTCGCGCATCTCCCGAGAGCTCAGAGAACTGCTATATTGACGGGCAGCTCAGTTTGCGACTCAAAATTATATTTGGAGGCATTGAAGATCTGCGTAATCCCTTGACCTCGAGGATTTTACTTTTGGGATGAAGGTCGTAAATGGTGGGGGCCACCCTCCCCTGTAGGCTACCTTCAGTTGAACTTGCCCTAACTTTTACATCCACGCTATCTTATCCCAGAAATAAAGTTTTTATGATCAGGCATTTGCTATTTCTGATTACAACTTAATTCGAACCGAAGACTTTTCCGATTCATAAATGCTTTATAGGATCAATTTGTCTTTCGTCATTTGCCTATCTTACACTATAGATTGCTATAGAACCACCACTATGCTTGTAGCCCAGGAGTCACTGACCATGTAGTTCCCTTGAAAATGAGTCGCCCATCATCTTGAAGTCGCTTTGGATCAGAGTACACACAGTAACTAATCTGCGACCTATCAAGCAAGAAATAAACACGGAATATGATGTAGATTTCTGAAAAGTCCGAACTGTAGTGAATATGTTCCATCTGTGCACCATTAGTTCCTGTTTACAAAATGGATGGCGAGAAGGCTTACCAGTCGGTATTGGTTTCCACTCATATAGAATGGTGTTCCGCACGGTCCAGTAGTTGTCTTCACCTCGATGTAGTATCTGGGACGTCTTGTAGACCAATCGCCAGTAAGAATCTCGGCGTCTGCCAAAATACGTGTCAGGTCTCCTTGGGTATCCGGGTACACAAGGTCTGCTGTCTCGCGATTAGACCAGTGAGTCAGATCGGTGTACTCCGGATGAATGTTTGCATATGTTCTTATAGTACTTTGCCAGTTCCCGCGGCCCCAGCCCGGTAGGTCAAGCTTCGATAACAGCTCAAATACCTACAATTGAAAAATTTAGTCTCATGATCTGTGTCACTCTGATCATGCTACTTACGAAGAGTTCCCCAGCGGCTCCGATCTTCTTATCGCGTTCTAGTTGGTTTGCCGATCGAAACCTACTCAACATATCCAACCCATCATAGCTCAGGTACGAGTTCGGCTCCCCCGAGTCAGGTAAGGCATCTCGAAGGCCACTCAAGTCAAATGCCCCACCAGATGGAAAATTCGCAAATCGAGCTGCCGCGATGACTCTTCCGAGAATCGTTTGATATCGCTGGTCCTCAGTCGCTCGCGAAATTGGATTGGAAGGAACTAGACGTTGGCTATTCAACTGCTCTGGGCTGGAAGGTCTGCCAGCTGGTGAGTGATGTCGTAGGGGCCGCGGAAGACTTCCATCACCTCGTCGAACTTGATGGGATGTCCTGCTTTGAATCTCAAATATTTCTCCGTCGGTCTCCGAAGCCCCATCTTCGATCTCGGAATCTCGCACCGCTGATGGTACAATTGAGGCATCTGTCACAGATGAATGAGTCGGAGTGAGAGCAAGGTCAGAAGCCCCATGGCCAGGCTCTGGGGTCGAATCAGATGCATCATTATCTTCGGTCTGTTCACCACCCATCATGTCTTCATTCAAATCTTCGTCTGGGTCCTTGAACTGCAACTCTATCATGCCCTGATCGTCCAGGATCTCGCCAAGAACGGCACGGTCGCTGGCAAAAATCGAAGTGAGGGCATTGATGATATCGACCTCCACATTGCCATCAATATTAGTATGGGGGTTACGCATGAGCCACGTTGCAAACCTCCTGGGAAGGACTGAGCCAAAACATAGTTCTTGCGCTCTCCGGTCTCGCGGGACGTATATAATAAGATTTCCAGCTGGCTCGTCGATATGCTCGCTGGCTGTCGAAAGTGTTGCTTCATATTGTCTGCCATTCTGACTCAGTTTCAGAACAGAAGAGATCCCTTCAACCTCCAAGACTTTCATAGCACGCAGTTGGTTGTAAAGGTTTGGTTCACTATGTTGAGAGCGCGGACTCCTGAATGTAGCTGCGACTCTGCAATTCATTGCCCGTTAGCAGTGGTTAGGTATGGTAGTAACTACACGTACCGGCATATTTGATAGGCTTTGAGAGACAAGTCTCTTTTAGGCGATGATATCGGCAGCCTTGAATCCCCCGAAATTCCTGTTCTTTCAGTGACACACCTAGAGAGGTATCGCTGTTGAATCTTCAACCAGGTAAATAATGGTCTTAGTCGATGGACATCCTCCAAGTCAAAGTCTAGGAGAGCAATCTTGTCAGAGAACCTAGATCGCAGGATATCCCGATCTGCTATTACGAAGTCCACATCCATGGACCGCATGGCGGTAGAACCATCAGGATAGACGATAGGAAATATCTTCGCTTTTTTGATAGGTTCTGGATCCCAGTTGCCATCTTCGATTTGGAGGAAGTCATTGAAAGAGAATAGAGCAACCTTGATGTCTTCTATACTGCTCTCAGGAGACTGTCGCAGCTCATCATAGACCATCTGCATTGTAAGCGATTTGACTCCAAGCTTTCCGACGAAAAGTGCTTTGAGGTCTTCGTAAGTCGCTTCAAGCGTCACCTTACCGCGAATTGGCGTTGTGCTAGACCACAAGCAGTCAGAGGTCTTGTGCCAGTCTGGCCCATCTTGCTGCTTCAAAAGGATGAGTGGGGATTCTTCAAATGAAGCTCTAGAGTCTGGTCAGTGTTGTCGGTTTGGAACTGTAAGAATACACGGGAGCGCACCTTACTCCTGGTGTGACTGTGAGCCTTTTGTGCAAATATTCGTAGAGGCTCAAAATGTGGCCCTCATCCTCCTCATCTGCACAAGTGCCCCAACGGCACTTGAGCTCCGACACAATAAGCTGAGCCGATATGTTACGTACGCCCAATGTCCCAACAAATAGCTTTCCAATGTTGCCGAGGTCTTCGTTACTCAAACCTCTTCTCTCGTATTCCGACTTCAGGGAATACACAGAGTCCAGATCAGATGGCACATCCCAGACACATAATTCAGGCTCTGACCACATTGACTGATCATCATCATCGTATGATACGAGGATGGAGTCGCCACCAAAGCATTCAAAGGCCTCTCTATCGAAGTATCAGTAAAATGACGCTATGGATATCAGTTGAGCTTTACTTAATTCTTGTGCGAGTTATGCTCAGTACCGAAGAGACACAAAGCTTGGCGTAGATGGCTATGTATAGCTCCAAAACCTTTTGTGATTGACGAGTAGACAACGGGATTGTGCAAGACCTCCGGATGCAGTGGAGTATATCGAGAAGGAATTCCAAGTCGTTAGACTTTCCAACACCAAAGTATTTGGTCAAGAAATTCCACTTGGTGCTAATTTGTTCATCGTTGCGATCATCTTCAATACTGAGGAAATGAAACTGCTCTGGTTTCTCCATATACCGGCGAGCACAATCCTCAAGCTCCGGTAGAGGAAGCCAAGTGTTTTCGAGCTTAGGGGAGAATTTAACTTTGCAAAGCTCCTTTGCAGGGACCTTTCTTATTTGAGACACAACCGTTTGGCGTTTTAATACTTCTTCTCCTTCTAGCAGCCAAAGATGTTCGAAGAGGCCGAGGAACTTGGCTGGGTGATGAGCGAGGACGTACTGGAAAGGCTGTGATAACTCATTTTGGTTGGGTGACAAGATTGTAAGTCTCTCGTGAATGCCGATAAGTCGCAGAGCCATCGTTTGTAAGAGGACAAGGAAAAATTCTGATCTTCTGATTCGATAGAGAGATATCCGAGGCGCAGAAAGTGGACAGGAAAGTTTGGCGGCATAGGGCCATTCCTCAAAAGGCTAGCGGGACTGAAAGGGTACTCGTCTCCAGGCAGATAAATAATCTGGCTGTGAGTTCCACGCAATTCGTTTTCCTCGGTGAAAAGCCGTATAGTCTTGTAGCTTTCACGTTTGTGTTTAGAACGCGAGTGTGTCAGAAACAAGTAGCGGAGACAGTCAAAAGTGAAACGAAACTTCATGGTTGGCAGATCAATGAAAGAAGAGAATATTGTGGATCGAACTCTTTCATATGTGGCCTCTGTTGCTCCAAGATGCCGAAAAAACTCCCTCCGGTTTGGGTTGGTAGTGGCAGATTTACTGAGCACTTTGAGGCCTAAGCCCTTAGGGATTTCCGTATCCCCCGTCATTGGAAAATAGAACGGGCCTGACGTAGAAGCTTCCCAGTGACCGTTCCTCAGCGGTAGAACCTCAAGTGACTCAAGCAATGCGGTTACATTCCAGCCGTTGTCAAATATCTTGGAACACATCCGAGCTACTGAGGAATGCCAGCCATCAGCAGTTTTGTTGGCGCGCATTTTGGAGTTATGCTGGCTTAGATCTCTTTTCAGTAGACTAACAAATAGAGGCGCGGATGCTACCCGTAGTCCGTAGGGCTTCAAATGCTTAGTCACCTTAGGCGGGTACTTGGCCGAGATGAAGGGGTCCTTGATGGGGTCATCGAGTAAGAGTGTGCCTCCATTGTCGGTCATGCCATTCGAGGCTATCACGACTTCGCTAATCAGACGAAAGTCACTCCTGTTCCTCGATCTTAGAATAGGAGTATCCTGAACTAGAGATAGAATCTTGGCATCTAGTCCGGACCAGAACGAGTCATGCCCACTATCCTGCACCGGGAGAAATAGTGGCCATCTATAGCAAAGTATAGGATGTCGGTTAAATTCCAGCACTGCCTTCAGAAATGTCTTGGCAATCCAATCACGAATATTCAAGTTTCTCCTTGTCGTAGTCACAATATCCTGCCGGTTGGCATTCGTATCAAAGTCCGACTGGATGTGAAACTAGCTGTTGGTCAGCCGGCTGCTCAAATATCGAGGGATGTATGCTGTTTACCTTGTAGTCTGAAGTCCTGAGAGGCAGAAAGGCAAAGAGTTCTTGTCTTCTTGTAGAAATGCAAGGCTGGTAATCACTTTTCAGTGGAAAGGCCAAGACAACTTCCGCGGAGGTGAGACTTCTCCGTGCCTCTTCAGTAGTAGCAGCATCGCGACTCTCACTCTGCGTTAGATCCTTAGCTAACTGCTTCGTAATGTGGTATATCTGGCTTGTTGTAGTTGCTTTGTCCCCTGAAAATACTGTTGTCTCTAAAGAGACACGATAGTCGTCGATCCTCTTCTTCGTAAACTGCTTCGAACGCCGAAGATTTCCTTGTCCATCATAAAAGGCGACACTAATCCTGCCAGTTTTTCGTAGGAAAAGGAGACAAGTCTCTTGGAGGTCGTCAAACTGCATGGAAATGACCATTTTAAGATGCTTTATCTCATCCTCGTTACCTTGATCATGCAAATAAAGTGTCGTGCGAGTAAGGGGACTAGGAATTGTGTCCGTCGGCGTCACCCAGATGGGTCTCACCATGCCGAGGCCCGGGTCGTTCCTGTTATGTCGGAACTCAAACGAGTAGTTTCCGGACTGGATGTGCACGCGGGATGCAGCGATAAAGACAGATTTGAAACCAATGCCTTTGGCACCTACGTATCCATGTTTCGCAGTCTTGGTGCTTTCTCCGACGGAGCATATCGCCTTGAGATCCAAACTAGTGAACCCGTCCTCGTTGCATTCGACAACAATACGTTTCGGGTGAACCAGAAAGGAGATAAACGGGGGATCATTCTTCTTATCAGCTTTTCTAAAGCTGTTGTCTTCGGCATTTTGGAGAAGCTCGAACACGAATCTGGCACCGCTACCGTAGATGTTTCTTGCTAAACTAGATACTTCATGAGCTTGAAGGAATGGTGCATAGTCTTGCAGATACTTACACTTTGATGGAATGCGATGCGGCGTTCTCCATCTTGAGCCAGTTTTCATCAATCCTTCGACGATAGTCGGCGTTGAAACGACCGATATCGTTCATCATGTCATGGTCCAGATATCCATAATATTCCGTCACCTCCTTGACAATTCTCTCTGCCTCTTCTGGAGTCGCCATGATTGGCAATGTAAGTATGTGTTGTGTTGTGCTCGCAAATTTGGAAGCTAAAATGAAGGAGAGACTGCAACGCGTGAAAGACCTCGAGCCAGAAGAGATGTGGGGGGTAGAGCTGCCGGCTGTGATAGCAAGAGGCAGCCATTCTACAAATGCATGTTGGTCACAGTATCCTGGTCTATTTTAAGTTATCACCTCGCAGCTGGTCTACTCTGCGACCGCAACTGAAACTCATCGCGTATTAGTACAGCCATAGTGGACTAGCCCATTCTGTCAATAGACGGGGAGAATATATATGCTTGCTTAGTGAAATGCCTAGGCGATTGCTTTACTTTGTACTTCAATGAATTGTCGCTGTCAATGGTGTGAAATGGTGCGCCTACCGAGTTTCGGCCTAGTAAACTGCAAAAACTGCGTTCAATGACGGGTTTGCGAGACAACAAAGCTGAGGATACTGCTTCTGAGAATCCAATTCTATGCTCGACCGCCAATATAGCCCAATCGCACCTCGAATATCGGCGTTGGAACTTATGTCGAGACGAGATAAGAGAACTGAGACAAGATAACGTGGATTAATAATGCTCGCGATCTGTCCCCGCTTAAATTAGCACGTAATCAGCATATTTAGCACGCAAATCGCGAACTAATCAATGACGATTGCGGGGACCCCAAGAATCTCCATCACCCGTTTCTTTTTTCTCCTATCATCATTCATTTGAGGATATAAAACATTCCCAAGCTTTACAATGACAACTCAAGTCGATCCCGAGACTCTTGCGAGGAGCACTGAGCAAACCCCGCTTCTAGCGGACCAGCCATCGCCGGAGATAAATGAAGCCGATAATGAGCCGGAAGCCGAGCCGACTCCGGAGAAAAGACCGAGGAGCTGGTATGCTTGGAGGATATTCTGGACTGTACTTGCGATTGTGGTATTGGCGGTTTTTATAAAGGGATGGGTTGATTCAGATGAAACTGAGGTGAAATACTAGTCCCCATGAGAAATGCCTACTGACCTGTTCAGTTTGACCTCAAGAAAGCCCTTAAACGGGCCCTTGGCGGAGGACTCAGTGGTGCGGCGGCTATGGTGCTGCAAGTCTTGCTCCTCATGGTAGGTTACTGCCTCGAAAGTATGGGTATGGCTCGACTAATAGCGTGCAAAGCCTCTGCGGACCATTATGAACTATCAGTATCGCCATGGCACGTCTTTCACTGTTGCCACGCGGACTCTCTACACTGAAGGCGGAATTCGAAGATATTACCAAGGAATTGCACCTGCGTTGTTCCAAGGTTTGTGCTACTATCCAAAGCGTTGAAATATTCCTATCTAAGTCCTCTAGGCCCAATCGCCAGATTCGGAGATACAGCTGCCAACGCTGGCATTCTTGCCTTGCTTCAGTCAAACCCGTACCTCAAGAATCTTCCATCGCCTGTCAAAACCATTTTTGCCTCTTTATGGTAAGTCAGAGTCAGCCCTCTCCTGGAGAAAGAAGCTTATTCGTTGCTAGTGCGGCTGCCTTCCGCATGATCCTCACTCCCATTGATACTTTGAAGACAACTCTTCAAGCTCAAGGTGCTCGTGGAACAGCCCTTCTGAGACGGCGCATCAAGTCAAATGGTATTGGTAGCTTGTGGTGGGGAGCTTTTGCTACCGCTGCTGCTACCTTCGTCGGCCATTATCCTTGGTTCGCTACCGTAAGTCCAGACTCTAAGTCGACGGATACAAAACTGACTCGTTTCAGTACAACTACTTGTCCGAGGTCATCACTGAGCCCCCCAGACATCCTCTATTCTGGTGGTTGCTCCGCTTGGCATTCATCGGCTTCTGCGCTTCCATCGTCTCCGATTCTATCTCTAACTCATTGAGAGTTGTCAAAACCTACCGACAAGTTAACGACACCAAGGTTTCATATGGTAAGGCCACCTAACATCAGAAGAATCCAAAGCCCGTAACTAAAATGATCATTTTTCAGCCGAGGCTGCACGAGCTGTGGTGATACAAGATGGGGTTATTGGCCTCCTTGGGCGTGGACTCAAGACGCGCATTTTGGCCAACGGCCTACAGGGCATTCTGTTCTCTATTCTCTGGAAATTGTTCCTTGATCTGTAAGTAAACCCTCCATCCCGTTTTTGACTAGTTATTCACAACCTCACAGATGGGAGAAGAAGACCTAAGCGTGGCGGGCCCGACCGATATTAACCAAGGTTTTGGCCCTTCGGCCAAGCAAATATAATCATGACGGAACACCTCAAGATATAATAACCTAGCGTAGTTTCTTTTGGTGTCATTTTGTATTCGCTCTTACTGCATCAATCTTTCTTGCTTGAGTTGTAGACAACTAGATACTAGATTATTGAAATTTCCTCCAACACCTCAAGCCCTGTCCGCATCCTGTGTCTTTCCCGATCACAAAGTAACTGGCAACTTGGGTTATCTATCGCAACGACCTCACTGATGAGTCTGTATCCTTTCTCAGTAGAACGGAGGATATATGGACAGGATGTGCCCATCAGTAGCCAGATTTCATCACCCAGTTCAGTTTCATTTCGGCATTGGGGGTCGAGCCCATCACTCAAGGGGAATCTTTTGCATCCGTAACTCGGTACATCGTCGCAAAAGCTTTCCAAGGTACATAAGCGCAGTGCTTTCACAAATAGAACAGGCATTTGACTATCGTCATTACTCGCACCAAACCGAATGGAGCCAACGGCATCGTGTCTGATCTGAGCGGTGATGCTAGCAATTTGGTAATTTTCTGACAGGCCGAAAACGGAGATCGCTGAAACAGTCGCGGAAGTCCAATCAGGAACCCATGATGGTAATCGACATGAAGGTGCTTTTGCAAGTTGAAGTGCGTACAGAAATATGTTGAGATCTCCTTCGAAAAGAATTATCTTGATTGCAGTATCAATCAGTACGCGTGAAATATCATTAGACCTGGAATAGTTGGGCATGATGTTGTATCCCGGGTGGGCAAGTCCCAGTTGAGAAAAAACCTTATCTCGGGGGTCAGTGGCCTTGGAATGACGAGCATCCAGCGCCAATTTCTTAAAATCCATGTTGCACTCTACCGGGTTATCTCCTAACAAGGTCTTTTGGAGAAGTAAGAACCGGGCAACATGGCAAGTCTCCAATGTGAGATAGTGTCGGTTGGTCAGAGCTTGCATTTCTTTCTTGACCTCGCCTCTCGCCAATGAAGCATCAGAAAAGATGTTCTCGGAGTGATGGGGGTTGGCAACAAGACTCGAATGGCAGATGGCTTGGAGCCACGATATCTCGGAAAGGTCCTGGGCTTCCTTGTGATATAGGAAAATCGTAGTTTGGGAACAGGCAAACTCTTGACGGATCCAAGCCCGGCTCCACCACGGACACTCAAGTAGGTCGTAGAAGGCATTCCAGCCTTTGATATAGTCTTCCATTATAATGTGGTAGTAAGATCGAGAAGTATACTGCTGCACATCTCGCTGAGAAAACCAAGAAAACGCATTTGGCCAAGCTTTGTCTTCCTGGTGTGTTGAGAGGCATATAAAGGTTCTCTGAGAATTCAAATAGATGTCTCGCATGAATGATACCTGGTGTGACCTTTCTGAATCATTGTGTTGATTGATGCATATCTGGTCGATCCACAAAATGCAGTCGTCCTCAGAGTACTTGGCAGTGCTCCAATATGCCAGTGTTTCGCGAAGAGCGCAGTCGAGATTACCAAATACATTGAACTCTATCCCCTGAAGAAGAATGGGCTTGGTGTCTGCGGCGCTACCTGCGCAGTAGGATATCGTGCAGTACTCTTTGCTGATGTCTGTGAGTTTCTGTGGGGGAAGAAAGTCGCAGCAGATCAAATCGTTCCCAGGGTTCTTGAAGACATGGACCAATCTGATTTCATGCTCGAGAGGATTGAGATCTTGATAAGCATGTTGCTGCAAGAAATGCTCATTTGCGGGAGTTGCGAATATTTCTTTGGAGGGTGTTTGGTCTTTTGCACTTATGCCTTCCAGGATTTGACTCTTTGGAAGCTCTCTACATGTTTCCGGGTCCAACATGACTGGCGTTGATGCTGTGATGGGGGAAAGCAAAGTTGAATGAGCTGTTTTGGCAGCAAGGTCGTGTTATGGGGTAATAGATGAGGCTATGCGGGGGCAATGCCGCCACCAAAGGGCCAAGCCTCAACCAAACGCTACAGATAATTCTGCCACAACTAGAGTAGTCATTACAGTGTCGGGATGGCCGTAAAGTGCAACATCGAACTGGGAAAAATGGCTGACTTTGGTTGCAGCAGGATTACTGGGGTACGAATACCTTTGTCCCACTTTCTAAGCCATCTCAAATGTGAGCCTCGATTAGTGAGGCAAGCGAATCTTCCGTGCCGAAATAGTTATGCTACCTACAGAGAAGGACATTTTCGCTGACAATATTGGCGTAGGTCAGTCCAGACGCACGGGTGATGATTTGCCAACAGCCCGGCAGTTGTGCGCTACCGTAGGTTATTCATAATCTAAGCCGACACTCAGTTCACATTTTCACATTTTTACATTATAGCCAGAGGTACAGTATTCTGCACAAGTCAAGAATGATATTTATCCGTCCATCCAATCCATTGATACATAGGGACTCAGATACCACTAGCCAGATAGACAAGGAGCTAAGCCAGCCCCATAGATATTCTTTTCCATGCAATAGGAGAGAACATCTAGCTTTCCTTGCCTGGGGCACCGCAGGTGTCAGAGTCAGATAGAACGTTTCCAGGTGCAGCAGCCATCTTCAGTTCAAATATAGACCCATCAGGTAAGGTAATAGACTGAGAGAACGCCTTTCTCTCAGGATTAGACGAACATGCCTGCGCAATCAGCTGCCTCAACAAATCCTCTTGAGAGTTTTCCAACGAGCACTGTTGCACAGGCGGGGGCTTATCGGACTTCCCCTCAATAAGCAAAAAGAGGCCGGTGACGATGAAGTTTTGTCCACCTACACCGGCGAGGTTTGCCCAGAAAGGTTGGTTCAACGTATCCATCACCTCTGGCTTTATTTGTTTAAGCTTTTCGATGAAGGCTCCACTAAGCTGGTACAGGGTTGATCCAAGCGCAGTTGCACTGGACTTGGCGCACTGTAATCCAGTTGCGCAGGCTGAGGAGATATCCCGATGCAAGAGGTTCGAGTCAAGCGAAGGAGGGGACTCATTGTTGTCTGAGCGCTTAGTCAATGCGGCGCCCCTAACATGTACTACGAATGGTTAGTAAGGAAGATTCTGAGCCTTGCATTCTCCTACCTGAGTTGTCCCAATCTTCGGGTGCAACCCCGGCAAACAAGCCGGCTCGGACTTCGTGATATCTATAGATCTTGCCGTTTGATCTTCCATAGTTGCCATGTTGGAGTGTGTCAGCCAAGGAGCGCCTTTCGATCGACTCCAGCGGGCTGGAATGGACGAAGTTCGACAAGAGAACAAGGAGGCTGGCAGCATTGACGAATCTCATGATGAATATGGTAACGAAATGTGGTTACTATGAATGGATAACAAGTGTATAAAGCTAAGACGATTGAAAACTGTGTTGAAAATGTAAGTCAATATCTTCAAAAACGTATGAATGACATAGGCTTATATGCACAATAGTAAAGTGAGTTATTCCTTTCAATTAGCAGTTAGGAAATACATGTATACAAAAGATCCTGAGTGATTTATTTGGGACTTTTGAGTGATCGACACATACGAAAATCGATTTATATAACCCGTTACCATCCAAGATCACCGTAGGATCTGGGGATTGCTACGCGGATTCTCTACGCTTTGATGTTTTATGTTGCTGCCTACTGATTAGACATCAATTGAATCCATGATCGCTGTAGGATTTAATGAATACCACATAATATATCTTGGCTCTAAGTCTTTTTTTTTCGCTGCCTACCCATAATATGCCTGTCTATAGACAAGATCGTCAAGTTGGAGGTTATAGGACTTTTACGTTACTATGCGCTGTAACTACCTATGCAAGGGTTGAGTGGTTGGCAGTGCCGATCCTGTAATGTAAGAGTTGATCCCAGATTAGAATCCCAAGTTCTTGGCTGTAACAGAACTTTTGTAACCTTGAAACTTGCGACCTCATACGGAATAGTTCAATTATACACTGGCGATATCAATAAAAAAGTGTCTAGAGATTTTATAAAAAGTATCTATAAAAGCTATTGACCCAAGTGCTGCCCAAGTTACAGATCAACACTTCCAAACCACTTGACAAAGCATACAATTCCACGATATCACTTCTGTACCTATCTCTAGCTTCAAGACCTTCGGATCTTTATCATGCATTACAAGAACATCCTCTCCCTTATTGCCTCCATTTCCCTCGTCCAGGGATTTGTTATCCCTGAGGGTCTGAAAGACGGTATCTATACCGTCAACAAAGACAAGAGCGGCAATGAGAAGATTGAATTTGTCTCTGAGTTTGACGACTCTGTGAAGCCCAAGATGCGTCGGGTTCCGCTGCCAAATGGCGAGATCGGGGTATGTAATTTATTCAGGAATCACACAAACCATAGCCTAACGTATCACAGTGCACTGGCGCAGGGCTGGACTACAGCGACCTATCGGGAGCCCAAGTACAGTTGTATAACTACTGTGGAGGCAGCGCCCCTCTTACCTCCAACCTCATGGTTTTTGTTCATGGCTCGGCCAAAGCCTACGTCTGTAACTATGGGGGAGCGAATACTTGCGCTGACCACGAGGCCAAGGCGGCGTTTGCTTCGCTCTCTGGGAACTGCGGAAACCCATCATCTCCTCTTGGTGGCTGGTAAGGTTTCTTATCATCGTGTAATAGACTTGGTTCTAACTATCTTACAGGTACTGGTTGAAGGATTGGGCAAAGACTTATGGTTATGACGCGGAGGGGGCTGACGTTTGCACTAATCTCTGAATGATGGCTTGCCTTGCTTTCAATTTCATTTATTTTCTTGAACGCATACTGTGGGAGCTCACATGAACTCCTCCATTTGCATGTATCTTTGTCTGATTTACCGAAACCAGTCTTTACCTTGTGTATTAAATTCAAATTCATAGGGTTTAATTAAGCCTTGACCAATTTAAAAGCACTGTTTGTGTGGAGTCTTTACTAAATTTACTTTAGTACCCTCTTTTCAAGTCTTGGAAACCGGTATAATCATATTTTTACTCAAAATGTCTCTTGAA